CCACCGCCCGCCGCAATGACAAGGCCCCGCATTGCTCGTCATTGTCTGCCAGAGCCTCCGCTTCCGGCTGCGGCTCAATAGCGAATACTAATGTCATAATTACAGTCACCCGGCGACAGGAAATGGGCCGCCGCCGAAGTTGAGCCGAGAGAGCGAACGAAGCCGCACACAACACTGCGACACGGAAGCGACCCCTTGCACTCAGGCCTCAGAAAAGGCTTTCGGCGGAGGGCGAGCGCGTGCGGCACTCATGAAGCGGGAAGAAAGTTGAAATGATATTTAGCCGATCCCGACCCTGCCTGGAAATCTCAAAACTCTTGCACCTCTACAATATATACACACACACACACACACTCAGTACATTCTCATCCATCTTATAATTCAGGGAGACGAGAGAGGTCAACATTTGATTGCCTTGATCGGGATTTAATTTTGGCACAAACAAACGGACTCACAGCCTTCTGCAAAATATGTGTCAAGTATGTCATCACGCTCTTCCCCCCCAAAGATAATAAACAAACCAATAAATAAATAAATAAACCAGTAAAAAAATAAATAAATGGATGATTTGTGACCACCCTGCAAAACGGGACATGCCATTTGATATTTGGACATCTTTGTCTTGAAGTGGCGGACTTGGACTCACACACGACAGTTTATATTTTGGTTGTCTGATACGAGCAAGATAACATTGAAACCAAAATGCCGACATAATCCCCAAGTGTCGTGCCCTCCTCGCTGAACACAAAAGAGAGGACAGCATTTTGATGAGCCCGAAGAGGCGTCGCTTTTAAAATACATTCGCGGCAAGCGGCGCCTCTGCCGACTCGCCTTCCATCAGCAGCAGCAACAGGAATGGGAATCAAATCAATCATCGTCATCAGCGGCGGCACTTTTTATGAGAGCCAGTGTGGAAACAAAAAAAAAAAAAGAAAAATCCTTCCCTCTCACGCCTAACCCATTTTAGGGGGGAAAACACAGCAAAATGGATCCTAGCAAAATGACAAGACTAGTGTTCAGCAGGCCTTACATTGCCCATCCCCACTCAAGTACGGCACATTTTCTTCTTGGATTTGCTGGGGAGGGAGAGGGGGGGAAAAACTGACAGCAGAACGCAGCACCAGTGGGAGAAGTCCAACACAAATGTTCAATTCAAGTAGGGGAAGATTTTAAAAAGAGCGCGCAAGCTGAGATGAAAATCTCCCACAGATTGCAACGGGACCTCGGGGCCACTTTGGCCCCATGATCTCCGCCTAGCAACAAGCCAGGTCCTTGGCCAGGCTCTTGTTATCACTCGCTAACGATGATTCGTCGTCCCCCGGTGGTCATTAGCTATCGTTTTCGGCGGTTCGCGGATATTTGCAGTCACTCGCGCAGTCTCCAGTGGTTGTTAGCTGTTGTCGCTAGCGCTTGGTCATTCGCAGTCAGTTGTTAGCTGCCGTCGGCGAGATCGGTGCACACGCTGTGCTCCGACGGCAGGCTGCCCAAAATCCCCCACGCAGCGCCGG